GTGTGTGTGTGTGTGTGTGTGTGTGTGTGTGTGTGTGTGTGTGTGTGTGCGCATGCCTCTATGGAAATCTGCGGGTGAATGCTCATATCTAAACTGCGGTCCACTGGCTGCTTTTAAATGGCCTACATTTTTTAAATAAACCAGAATATTTCTAATAAATTGCACAATATGTGCATTGTTTAAAACATTAGATGTTCACGTAATTTTGTGAAATTATCTGTCCTAAGCTCTTGGTACAGAAACCACTATTTTACCATTTCTGCCAGTTCTGTTTGTTACATTTTAATGTTAGAGGAATTTGTGTCGTACATTTGCATTTTCATCGTAATATTTAGGTGTGCTCTTAAGCCATGAACAGGAACCTATATAGGTATTTGGCAATTATTGCCTGTTTTAATTATTTAATAATTAGATAATTAATAATTTAAAATTACTGAATTAATTTTAATTAAATTTAAGAGCGGAATACTGTTTGTAATATACTGTAGGGGCTGTTGAACTGTTTGGTATTGCTGCATAGTTATGTTGATAGAAAGTTCATTTTCATGGGTTTTTCTGGTCTATATACACAGACTTTCTGGTTACTGGTTGAAAACATTTGTCCCGTGACTCCTTATGTTTCCTTCCTCTGGCTGATGTCGTTGCCATAATGCATTACCATGTATGTGCACACCCGGTTCACGTGTTGTTTCTGTGGGGGTCTTTTCAGGAAATAAGGAAGAAGGAGTGGACGGCCATCATCCCCAACTCTCAGCTCATCGTCATCCCCTTCCCACACAACCAGCCCCGCAGGTACGCAAACACTTGCAATCGCAGATCTAGCGCGGCAAAGCCGGGTCACACTGTGAATCCTCTTTTGCTTGTTCACAGCTGTGTAATTTGCTGGGAGCCCCGTTGACGCTTGTTGCTAAGGATACCATTCAACGATTTAAGCGCCTCATCTTGAAGGCACTAAACGATATATTCAAGTTAATGTTACGCGACACGGTTAGTGTCTCCGTGGTGCTGTCTTTACAAAATAATCTGGTTCTACACTCACACACACACCTCGCAGCAAGTGTTCTCATGTTTTTATGACGTTGTTGACATGTAGCTCAAACCCCGGGAGGAGCTCCAGATGGCTATTCAACACACACACACACACACACACACACACACACACACATGAGCACCCTCCTCCATAAAACCACACAACACTGTGAACTCGCCAGCACAGACACACACCAACAAGCGCACCATGAGCGAGATCGAACTAGTAAAAGCAGGTGCCTCGGTATTCTTCTCACACGCTGTTTTAAGCTCACAGATTGTGAGAAGATGAATTTGATTTATCAAAGCGGTCGGATTTGCTGGAAATACTTTAAAAGTTCTTGGAAAACCAGAAAGAGAGCAGCAGCGATTCATTCTGTTCAGCTGCGACAAGAAAGTGAACAAGATGTTCATTTATTTATTTTAACGTGATGAATACACAATCTCTGCTAATGTGTGCCATTTGGTAATTACATTGTTTTGTCTCTCTCTCTCTCTTTCTGTCTCTGTCTCTCTCTGTCTCTGTCTCTCTCTTTCTCTCTCTCTGTCTCTGTCTCTCTCTGTCTCTGTCTCTTGCTCTCTCTCAAGTTGGAGCGCTAAGTTGTACCTCACTCCTAGCAACAGCGTGTTGCTGACGGCCATCGCGCTGATCGGAGTGTGCGTCTTCATCCTCGTGTTTATTGGCATCCTCCACTGGCAAGAGAAGGTCAGGACACACACGCACACAAATGCATACAATGGTGTGGTTAATGTCGGCCTTCATCCCGGTGATTTACTATTTTAGAGTGCAAGTATGTGAGAGAGAGAGAGAGAGAGCAGATTGGTCAACCAACAGCAGATGGGTCTCACTGTCCCTGTCCTGTAGTCCTCTAGCCTCCCACTGAGAGACACACACACACACACTTCTCTCTCTTTCTCTTCCTCCGCCCATCGTTGTCTCTCTCCGTTGGCCTCAACCAGGAAGGACGTTCAGCTGTAATTGCCTGCTTCTGTCCTTTCAGCATGGCAGATCTGCTGTTCATTATTGCCATAAAAATGCTCTCAAGGGGGTCAATGCATGCTTTCACGTGCGTTTTGTGCTTCCTGCTGGTCCGGTTGTTGTTTAAATCGCACACACACACACACACAAATAGTGTTTAACATTAATTCTCGCAAATGTACTTCCCCCCTTTTTCGTCCACACACTGTGGTAACGCTGTCTGCTGGGCTGAGCGGTGCAGTACGTTGCTGGCATCTTCTCCGAGCCATCTGCCGCACGAGTCTGTGTGTGTGCGTGCGTGCACATTTAATGTGCGCCTGCGTGTGTTCATGTGTGTCTTCACGCAGGATGGCGTGTGTGCATGGTCACACACGCAGACACGCTCTAATTGCCCTCTTTTTTGGGATACGTGGGCGTGAGCATCAGCTTCATCTGAACCGAAGCTGCATTTAAAAAAAAAATTAAATAAAAACAGAAAGAAAGAAAACGCGGCTGGTGCCTGAACGGAGCGTTTACACACACACCGAGCAGACTTAGGTGGATAGGAGGAAGTGTGTGTGTCTTCCTCCCACTCTCTTGAGAAAGAAGAGAGTGAGAGGAAGAAAGAGGGGGGGGGAAATGCTAATTTTCAGAAAAAAAACTTCTTGCAGCGGCTGGCAGTGAACTTCACATGAAATCAAATCTGGCGTGTTGACACAGACAGGTTTGAAGCCACAAAGAAGCAATGCATTTGGCTTTGATCGCAGTAATGTGCTTAGGCTGACCAGTTAAAGTCATGTCTGCGTTGTTCACTCCCTCCCCGGTACAGATAGTGGGAGCTGCTTCTGGGAGTATTTTAGCCACACTGAAATGTTTCTCTTAGTTGTATCATCGATGTTAAAAACAGAAACACGGGAGTCTTGTGGATCATTCATTGTTGCTATTGGTTTATCTAAAGGCCATTCATTATTCGAACTTGTTTTTATACTCAGGAGCCCCTCATACCGCTGCTGCTCTGGAACGGAAGATGGTCGCACGCATAAGTCAGAGCTCAGGCTATTTCAGAAAGACAAAAACAAACGAGCGACAATTTCTGAGTATACATTTAACTCAAATTGACTTCAAATTGCTGAATGGATTATCGGTTTTCTACCACACATAATCTCTAGCATCTGTTCCTGTTAGCCGTTCAGATGTTTCACACTTAAATGCTCCTTAGAGAACAGTTGACTCCTCTCTTCCCGTTTTAGCCGCACAGGCTTTTGGCTTTTTAGAAGAGAATGAGAATTTTCTAACACAACTCCTCATCTCTTCGTCTCATGCCCGTCCAAGTCGTGGAGGTTTGCCAACTTCACCACTCGTTGCCTGTGCTGAAGAGTAAATGAGACTTTGACTTTCTGGACCTCCTGCCTAACACTAGAAAATGATATAAAATACCACCAATCACAGACACCTGAAGTACATACACATACAGTGCAAAGCGGCCAATTGGGTATTCACACATGGATGAATGATGATGGGTTTGGTATGTTGGTTATGTGGTCTAAGGTCACTCATATAAATTAGTAGAGAGGCAATGGGTGCGCCTATGGATATGGGTGACGACATATTTAATCCGTAAACAGCATCAGCTGGTAAAGGGGACGTCTTTACCCAAAATGGACCTGTGTGTCAACGAGGCATGCCCTGAAAACAAAGTGCTATATATTCTCATTGGAAGTGAATAAAAGACATTAAGGCTCAGATACAAAGAGGAGAACCAGCAATGAGATACATTAAAAGCACATAAATAAGGGATTTGGAAGCATTTCATTTCAGAGAAAAAGAGATGAGCACTTTTCATTAAATGCCGATTTAAAAAAAAATCGGGCACTTCATCATAATGACAATAACATTAGTTTTGTTTAGCTTGTAATGGAATCCATAATGCTGCCGCTCTCGTTGTCGCTACAGACTTGTGATATACTGCCCCCCCCCCCCCCTTAACCGAAACATAACACCCATGAATCAAAACGTTGCCGTTTCTAGTTGAAGCAGTCGAACAGCATCGGTCTAAAGCTGTGCTGCAGCGGTTTTGTCTAATCTGGGGGGTTGGACAAACAGACCTCCGGTGTCACTGTGTTCAGCCCGCTGACAGCTTTTGATTTGATTAATCACCGAAAGACACGCATCGGGACCGACAGGCTGATGTTGTGAAACGTTCTGCAACAATCCAGAGGGGGAATCCTGTGTCGCCAGCATCCTCCCTGATATCTCGTCTTCTGCCAGCTCTTTTTTTACGGCGGGCCGTCCGGTGAGGTCAGGGCGAGCCCGCTGATTGACATTTGGCATTTCTGCGTGTTTGCGCCGCCGCTTCTGGTATTTCCTCTTCTAATAATAAAGTCAGGCAGAGGGCAAGGACATTGCCGCCCTGCCTAACAAGCTAACAGGGCTTTTACACAACTCCCGGGAACTTCGGTGCAAGACAATATTAGCCGGTGGTATTCATGGTCTTCATGCAGGACATGCAGGCCAGACTTAATTAGTTGACAGAGCCCAGAGAGACTACGCCGTACCTCACAGTAGCTTTCCACCTGCTTTCAGACAGTCGCCACCGCACCGTCATTAAAACCTTGAGAGGGACACAAATCATTGCTCCGCTGCATCGTGATGAGTCGGGCCTCAGGATGACAATTTGGTGTGGCATCCCCTGATAGTCAATTAGACCAGGCTTCAGCAGCGGCACAGCCCGGTGGCTCAGCTATCCAAAGGAAAGAACATCGCATCAATCCATCTGCTCCTTAGAAATATGCTGCCCTAAACAAGTGGAAAGAAATAAATAATGCACAACATCAATCAATATGAGGCGCTGGTATCTCTGAAGGTAGATGAAGGCTTTATTACAAATCAAAACTGACGGGATGAAAAAGTAAAATGCAGCAAATGTGTTGCCGCCCGTCTTTTGGTTGCAGCAAATTAGTCGACATCAGGGAAGGATCGGCTGTCCTTTAAAAGTCTAAAAGTCCTTTACTAATGTGCTGAGATTGGGTTCAGTCTTTTCTAAACGAAAGCATGAGCTGCTCTACTGAAGCAGTAAATGCTGAGGGAATGAATTAAGAAAAAAGAATTGTTCCTTTCAGATACTCTGATGCCCATTTTCTCCCCCATCATCAGTTCTTCTCTGGTATCAAATAACAGATGTGAACGCATTATTGACTACAGTCACCAGTCCAGATGATATGGGATCTTTATTTTTCTTTGGTGCTCAACTTCTGTCAAAAGGCAAAAAACAGCACGACGGCGTGCCTCACTGCTTTAGTCCTGGTCCCCATCAGAACTCACTACAACGTCCCGCCGCATGAACTGATGTCCCCTCTTTTCTGAGACGTGGAAACTAAAGGGATTAAAAGTTCTCATGAAATGTTAAATCCGTCTTTTTGAAAGGGAATGTTGTACTTAAGTACAATTGTGAGGTATTTGTACATTACTTACATCTACTCTACCACACTTCTGAGGAAAGTGTTTTCCAGCGCATTCATTTCACAGCTATAGTTGCAAGTTACTCTGCGTAATATTTATATTTATAATTATAAATCACGTCGTCATCTATTAAATATGATGCATTGTTATAGTTGAATCTACTGAGGATATAAAGTAGGTAAAGTTAGCTCTAACTGGGCTCAAGTCTGCCTTGAAACAATCTTCACATGCCGTCATGTAGAAAGAGCCATACTGGCTGTGAAAAGATCCTCTATTTTAATTAAAATATAAGAGATGGAGGGCAAAATACTCAGTCCTCTTTCTGTGGAAATTGTGCAAAGCTCAGCAAAAGCTAATAAGAGTCTGAGTTAGTGGAATCAAGTATAAAATGCCCTCTTTGTGTTATTTTCTCTTTGCCATGGCGATGAAACATTGGGCCTCGTGCAGGAGGCGACATGAGGACAAATTACCTCTTGTTTTTGTTTGTGTCCACGACTTGTTCTTATTCTGATAAGTAGCCATTGATTTCTGGGATCCACCACAGTTTTCTTATTTTTGCTCCTCGGTAAGAGAAAATGTTGCGAGTGGTAAGAAAAAAACGTGTGTTTGCACCTGCCTTCATATAGTGTTTCTGGGGGCGATTCCCATGCTTATAACATACAGGCACGCCTCCATTCAGCACACCGGAGTTTGCAACAGCAGAGTTGAACATTTGGTGAATCCGGAGTTGACTTCTGTTATATTTTTTCTTAACAGAAGAGAAAATATAAGAGAGAATGTTGCTGCACGGGCCCAATTTTGGCGGTGAGGATGGAAATCTACCTCATCTACCTGTGGGTCCATGAAATGAAGCTATGCGGCCATGTGACCACATGACAGTATGGCCTGGCCTATCACAACTGGCTACAGCGCTGTGCAATTTAGTCCCGACTGATTGAAGATACTGCCGTTCCAGCCTAAAGTCATCACTGAATGGCATACTGCAGCTTGTTTGGCTCTTTTCTCAGCTTGAGGTTTTGGAATAACAATGTAGTACCACGCACGTACACATGCACGTGCACACAGACGTACACACCAGTGTTCATTTTGGCAGCTGGTTTTGATTTGGTTTTAGTCCAGTCATGTCAAAAGTGTTGATTATTTTTCGTCACACTGTAGTCATTTGACTTTATTAGTTTAGTTTAGCTTTTGTCAGTAAAACATTTTGTTGTGCTTTTTGAATTTTTGTCGGTAAAGTTTTTACAAAATCTTTGATAAATGAGTGCAAAACTGGTCCACGAGTGATGAGGTGAGGTTTAGATAGTTGAGAGCCGACTTAAATCCTGCACTCAGATAGCAACACGGAACATAACGTAACCGAAACGCAAGATGCTGCTTATTAAGTGTGCAACAGGTGAAGCAGCTAAATCAAGAAGAGGAGATCTTTTCTGAATGAAGTTAGACCACAAACTCTTGACTGCGTTTGTTTCTCTATGTGTGTGTTCAGAAAGCGGACGACCGGGAGAAGAGGCAGGAAGCCCACCGCTTCCATTTCGATGCCATGTGAAGGAGGAGAACTGAATCATGGGAGATCGTCATCTCTCCGCCTACGTCTCACCCTCCTTCCCCCGTCACACACACATTTTCTCTCATTTCAAGGGCCAATAAACTGATCCTCATTTTTGCCCCAAAACGTTTCTTTTTGATATTTCTCAGTCCTTCAGTCAGATGTGAAATATTAATGTTCCATTTCATTTATTCATTCCGGTGTTAGATGTTCAGGAGCTCCAACAAATCCTCATGGAGATAAAGCAGGGATTTCTTTGAACCGGCTGTAGCATGATGGTCCGTGGTGTTTATTAGAGGATCATTTTGAAAATATGACACAGATTTCTGTTGAAACGTCCGACAATTGACTCCAATATTGTAAGCTGTTTGTTTATTCACTGGAAGGGAAAGCACCTTTGGCACCGAGTGTTTAAAATGTGTAATGTTACTTGAAATCCGTGTCTGTCTTTTTCCTTTTATTGAGATATAGTTAAGAAATTCTTCAGATTTTATGACCTGTGAAATTAAACTGTGTTCTGTGATATCAATCTCAGCCTTGCAACCGCAGCAGCAACTGGTTGCAAAGTGAACACGATATACGGACACACGGAGCTTTGTGATTCTGTGGAACATCGCTCTGCTACCAATCTCACCGAAACACGATGAATTGCCTTCTGGTCTGCTGAGTGCAAATTTGTCTTTTTGTCAGTTGATCGTATCACAGTGCGTCATCGGAGTGCCAAAAAGGGGGAAAAAAGAGTTTCTGTGTTGCATCCTGCTAATTTCTAATGCTCCTGCATTGAGGTTCAGCAAATAGTCTCAACAACCGGTCACATTTTGAACTACTGAATAAGGCACAGTTCACTCCAGACGGGGTTTTCATTTACGTTGTCTTTTTTTTCATAAAGTTAATCCGGCGAAGCGCTTTAGTGTGTTCAGATATTTATTTCACTAGAATGAGCTCATGCCTTTCCAAGCGGTTTGCACTTTTAAACTAATAATTAATTGCGGGTTGTGTGTAATTTATTTCATTTTGGCGATTTGTTCAACAAATGAATGTTCAAGCTACTAAATGTGTTTACTTGCTGAGGTTGAGAATAAAGGTTTTCCTGCTTAAATTAACTCTGTATGCTTACTTTGTGTATTATTACACTTAATATATTTTAGTTTCATGTTGCACTCTCCTTAAAGCTGCTAGTGAAATAATAAGATTATGTCACAAACGCATAATTCACCACTTCTAAGAATTCTTCCCCCTGAAACTTCCTTTCTGGGAATATCTTTTGTTTAGTTTGTTGCTGGGACGCTCGGGGATATTTACACTGAAAATAATCATCTTCATATGCTCTCATTATCTAAATGCGTAGTGAGTTGAAGCAGCAGTGAAATTAAGCTGCCTTTAATTTTCTAAAGGACCCCTTTGAGCACCCCTCTGGGCCCGACACCCCCACTTCAGGACCCACCCTGCTAAATAATGCATGGAGAGAGTAAACCTTCCCTGCATGGCAGATGAGAGTTTGGAAGCCTTTAAGCTGATCACAAGTGATGCAAAGCACATGGGGGGGGTGGGGGTGGGGGTGGGGGGGAATCAATACATACAGTATTGACAGTCAATAGCTCCAGTGTTTTGTGTTTGCTGGGAGGGAGAGAGAGAGAGAGAGAGGGGCTTGAAGCAAGGAGCAGGCGTGCGCGCTACACGCTGTGTTAAGCTGGACAGAGAGAGACAGAACTAAACCGGAAACGAGATGATTGAGCTTCAAAAACAAAAGCATAGAGACGAAAAACAAAGAAAAAAAACTAGCGTTGAGTTGCACAGAAGAGTTTTGTCTTTAAATTCCACCTTCATAACCAAAACATCAAAACCATACAGAGTGATTTGTTGAACATGTATATTTTCTTATTATAATCGAGCAGCGTTTAGGGATCATCTGCTCGTTAAGAATACAAAATTTCATATAAATGAACACAAAAAGAGAGATGAAAGCAGTGTCCACATATATTGATTACATTACATTTGACATCCACACCTTTGGTGTAGTGCATAGATGCTGGTTTATATTGCAGCCAGTCAGCTTCTTACGGTGAGAGAAACTTAAAAACTTTCTGCTAATTTGGAAGAGCCATTGGACACTATAGCAGAATCAAGAACAATATTGAACACAATGTGAGGCTAATTCATCACAAAACTGGGCTACAAACAGTGGGTGGATAGCACTTCATGGACAAAATATTTGTTGTACTTTGTTTTATTTTAATAAAAGCCAAATTATCCAGCGTTTTCCTTTATGCATTATGCAAATGTATTAATTTCCAACCTGTGCATTTTCCAAAGGAACATCAACAAATCCTAGTTAGATAGTACATCTCTGAATAATTAACTTAAGACAAGACAAAGTAAATCATAACAAGTTTTAACTATAGTGCCATATATGTTTTAATCTTTCTTTGAGTGCCTGCATTATTTCTAGAATTCACTTTTTTGTTGCAACAAGTTTGACAGTGTGGATTACTTTGAAAGAAACGACCGGAAACGGGATTTCTTCACTGTGTGCACTTTGACTATATGCTCGTGACAAGCCACTCATTGATGTAAGCAGCGCCCACGGCTTAAATGAGCCTTGTTCAGGAGCATTTCTTAGTTCAGACACGGACAGAGAGCAGACAGCGACAGACTCTCCTCCTCTTCCTCCTCCTCCGTACTCTTCCTTCATATCTCTCTCTCTATTTCTCTCCCTCTCTGTCTCTCCATACACCATCCACCCATATGCGTCTTTTGGATACCTGCCTCTCCTAGAGCGCGTCAGCCCGCCTGAATCAGTCCATCCTCCACATGCCATCTCCACGGTAGTCCCGCTTGAAGAAGCTGCATTCGCGGTGATGATGCCCGGCTGAGAGGCTCGCAGCAGCGTTCATCCTCCAGCCAAACGCAGCGGGACCCGCCGACCGAAGAGGAGCCTGGTGCCGCTTCCCTCCTTGGCGCGTGGCTCTGCGCAATGGATTTACGGTTGTCGGAGAAAAGTTGGATTTCGTGAAGAGCCCCGTGGACCCCTAAAATGGACATAAAAGGAGTGCGTTTTTAGTGAAAGGTGCTTTTGGGTTTGGAATCACACCGTGAGAGGAAATGCACAGAGGTGAGTTGGACACGAGCCGCTCGAGAATCCGCGATGCGCGTCAAGGTCCGGTGCACTGGGCAGAGAGAATCGACAGTTTGTTTTAAGCTTGGATTAAATGTATCTACCTCTTTATCTTTTCCCCTTTTTTTTGCACGGAGGATGTTTTGTTTGCAGGTGATGTGGATTTCAACACGTCCAGAGCAATTAGGGCATGAAATTATAAAAATGCTCACTATGGCTCAGCTTCAGAACAGATTTACTCATCTTTAAATGCATTTCTCTGATAATGAGAACGCTAATTAACAGGTAAATAACTACAAACAGACTAATCTTCCACCGCTCTTTGCTACTCCTCTCTTTCTGTCTATTTTATTGGTCTTTATGGTATCAACTTGCCCTCTCGTGCCTGTTTAAATCTTCTGCTTTTTTATTGCCCACCACACTGATTGATATGCCAATAAACACTGACTGCCCAATTCAAGTTCCAGCGTCTGTTGGTCACCTTCCAATATTCTAAGATTCAGCAAAAGCCAGACCGGTTCGTCTGTGTGAAAATAAACAGTGTGAACAGTGTGAAAATAAACTAAAATAGCCCAACAACAAATGGTTCCTAAAACGTCGCATGTTAGTTTTGAACAGGTCATTAAATGAAGGGGGGGGGGAAGGATCCATCATTCTAATGGTCCGGTACGCTGGGTCATTTGAGCGTAATGTAAAAAGGGGACCAGGACCAGAGAGGTTTAGCAGTTTGGGCACTGCGAGGTGTGTCTCTGTCCGTACAGCCTACGTGGGTGCGATCAGATTATTTGTGATTCATGATATAAATGGACAGCAACGGTCAAATACTATTTGAAGTCCACCAGGGAGCATTGAGTGCTTCCCATCAGCGGACAGTTTGACCGTGTTCATCTATCTCACTGACAAAAACATCGTGTCTGTCACAATACTGGCCTCAGAAATGTGGCCCCAAAAAGAAGCGCGTTTGCAGCTGTTTATTGCAAATAGGTGCCATCATGTCTCTTCGAATATTTTCTTTAAAATTAAATTATGAATAAAATATACAGCGGCTCACACCACTTCAAACGGCTCGCAACTGGGGTCCGACAACAATGGATTATTTCTCCTCCCAAATTCTGAGCCAGACTGTGTCGTGTGCGCGCGTACCGCATGCTGTCCGGCTCCAGCCGCCGTCTCGCGCTATCAACACCTGAGGCACGCGCCAGCCGCAGCACACGGCTGCAACACCTCTTGAGTTCAGTGAAGCGTTCTCTTTGCCTGGTGTGGACAGTTTACTGCACTAACTAGCCGTGGGGTTAAACACATGTAAAGTGTGTGTTCGTGGGCCATTAGCTAGCCCACTCTTTAGGCTAACTAGATAGTTTGCCTAACTATTAATATGTGCACCGTTCGGCCTTATGATAGCCTAATTAGCTTAAGTGGCCACAGGTGTAGATTATCTGTCACATACCACAATGGCTCATTCTTAATTTTAGCTGTAACAGAGCATGTCGACCGACGAAAAATAAAGTCATATTTCTATGGACCTGGAATATGAAGCTTTATCTTTACTTTACTGGCTTAACGTTGGACCCATTCTTTGCCTCATTAAGCGCTTAGCTTATAGGCTACTAATGAGCTAAAGTCTATGGTAGCTGATTTGTAGACGTAACAGTTAGTCTTTGTAATTAACAGCATATAGATTAAAGGGAGATAAGATAAAGCAAAAGCCCACATTATCAGCTCTATGATATCACCACAGTCCTTTAGTCCTGTGTTACAGAAGGCTGTTTTTTTTTTCGAGGGGAAGCATTACAGCCTCAATCTGGCTTGTAAGAGGAAGTGAGAAATGATGTAAAAATGAAACGAAGTGACCTAGAATCGTGGGGTTGACCCTTTGCCCAACCCCCCCCCCCCCCCTTCTTCTGTAAAATGACCAGAGGTCAGATACAACTGCTTTCAGTGGGATGTGATGAAGCATTTAAATGTCGGGAATATTTATTTTAAGGAATTCAGCTGAATGACCCAACCTACAGGATATACAGTATATCGACACAGGGGGGGGGGCAACAGATATTAAGAGGGATGCTTTTTGGAAAGCCTGTTCATTGACGTTCTTTGTCAATAACTTATCATTCATCATCCATTTTTATAAACGTTCACAAGCTGTTATCTTGGTGTGACAATAGTTGAAACTCTATTTAGCTTGTGATTTATTCATATTACAAAATATGTTACAAATGCCTGCATTAATTATGCAACTTTTGCCAAATAAGGTGATTAAATATTGATATGCTTGACACACATTCGACTGCAGCTCGAGGCAGCTCTTACTTGGTGCATAACTCTTACAGGTAAAATAACCGTTGCTTGTTAAAGCATTTGAAAGGATGACAAGATTCCTAGCTTCGTTGAGGGCCGTGTACAGTGTACAGTGTCCTCGCTATCTACATGATTTAATGACTGGCTTATAATGTAAAAACAAAACAAACAAACAAAAAAGCTTCAGTGAGACCCTACAGCATCTATTTGGTTCTTGAGTTTGTTTGGGTGGTCTGTTCTCTAAATGTGCCTGTGGTCGTTCATCTTCCCACCTACTTCATTGCGAGATAATGGAGATGCAAGTAATGAGGAACCCGGGGCCTGGGGGGGCCGCGCGTGCATGTGCATTTCAAAACGAGTCCATTCGAACATGCCTGCTCATTGGTGCGGTTGTGTTCACTGCTTATGTTAACCATGCATTCTTCTGCATTAGACCCCCCCACCCCTCTCGCTCTCTCTTTTCCCTGCTCTCTCCCTCTCTTTCATCCCTCCTTCCTGTGTGCCATTACGCAACGTGCCAGGCTCACGCTCGCCATCTAATTCGATGTGATCGGGCCAACCTATTATGAACTCAGAGGGGACCAGGTCTACAGTGGCTTATCAGAGGAAGACAGTGTCAGGAGCTGTAACGCGCTCGCCCTCAGTGCAGATATCATTGTAATACAACATATTTCACCTATTGTCTGTAGCCGTGCATGCTCTGCCCAAATGACCGTCCCTTCATCGGTGCCGTAAGCCTTGGAGCCTGTAATCCTGTTTTTTCTGCTAATGCGTCATGTTTCTGGTGCCTAGAGGCCACAGATTAGCTGGTTGGAGTCTTGTGGTTTGGATGAGAGTTGATGGTTTAAAACTATCTTTAATGAGCTACTTCTTGCTGCTCCCGCTACTACTGCTATTGCTATTACGGAGAGCCAATTCCCTCTGCACACTTGCTGTTCTATTACTTCTTTGACTACCTCCAATAATCCTAGCAGCGGTAGTATTACTTGTGCATGTAATCATTCTGACAGCAATGACTAACCTACTACTAGTGCAAGTGTCTCTGCAGTTCCCCAGCAACTACATATTGTGTTAAAGCAACCATATTATTAGACTATATTAATTATCCTAGAAATATTCTGACAGTGATATAATTATATCATGAATGTATACAAAGACATGCATGTATGCCATATGATTATGTTGTCCCTCACGGCCAGGTGAAATCATTATTGCAGCCGATCACACGCATACATTTTCTGTGGCTGTTGAATGGATTCCCATGTTCTCGTTTCTGAACATGAGGATATAAATGCAGTATTATATCACCTGTGACTATATGTGTTATATCTCTGTTTTGCAGCGTGGATACTCTTCTTTCTAATAGAAGAGGGTTTCGCTCTGGCACAGAGAACTAAAGGTAAGCCACAGCTCAAATGCTCCTCTGTTACACGAGTGTTGTCTCTCCCGAATAAGGGGCATTATCTCTACTTGAATCATAGGACTTAATTCTGTCCTGCCATTCCTCCCTCTTTATTCCCTGCTTGCTTTTTCCCTTTTTTTTTTTCTGGCGCCCGCCGACCCTCCCTCCACTCTCCCTGCCTTCCAATCGTTCCCTCATTGATCCCCTGACTCAATAACCCATCTCTCCGTCTGTTCTCTGCCTTTCTGCTTCAAGACTCCCCAAGCGAACATGGCGGCCAGAGCCCCAACCAGAACGACTGTGGCACGTGGGTCCGCAACATCAATGGCGGGGTGTTCACGTCGACAAACTACCCCAACACCTACCCGCCCAACAAGGAGTGTGTTTATATTCTGGAAGGTAAAGCAGGCTCCTTTTTCATTTGAGCACTTCATCTTCTGCTCGATGGCTGTTGCCGTCATAACAGCTGACACAGTTTCCCGCCTTTCAGCATATTGCCTTCTTCGGTGAATGTCATTAGTCTGACTGACATTGTTTTATATAACCTCGCCCCTATCGGATTTTCTGTTCCTTCACTGGCGGGCAATCAGCTTGACATTTTTCAAATGAGCCATCCTGAGTTTGTTTCACCCCCACAGATATAACCCTTTGAAAATGATGGAGAGTGGCGCATTGTGGGTAGCCCCTGACTTTTGGCCTAATCAGTGTAGTGCTGTGTTCATCTCTATTGGCAGGCTGTGCCAGCAGACTCCGCTATTGAATGAAACATAAAACAGATGAACATCTGCTACAAAGCTGAGCTTCGGTGGCAAATAGCTGAATTGCCGGCTCCCTTGTCAACGCTTTAGTGTTTACCAGAAATACCACATCCATCAGTAATCTGGTGGCATGCCGCGCGGGAGACATAATGCAGTAGTAGCATCATTAGCAGCTGTAGGAGATAAGGTCTGGGATATTGGTTGATTGGTTTTCACACTAAATTGATGAACGGTCCGTGAAGTTAAAGTCCACCTTTTCGTGAGATGTGTGTGGTACTGGCTTGCAGTGGTGGAGGAGAGATTTCACACATGGCTCAAGGGCTCCCCCTGTGGACAAATCAAGCCCAGACCTGTTGTTGATGAATAAACCCTGACTCCATCCCAGGCAGCCTACTGGTGTGTGCAGGAGTACATCGCAGTGGGTCTGCAAGGCGACACACGGAACCTATCATTTGCCATTATTTGGTCTGAATGACCATATTCATAGTCATGTTCATATTCAGCCTTTTATTCTGCCTCTCAGAGACAGAGAGATGCTCACGTTTGGCACTCATAATTAGCAGTTTGTAAGACTCATTGATTATGTCATGTCCCCCGGTTCATCAGCTCAATAGATCGTGTGATTGAAGTTTCTGCTCCTTCGGTGTCAAACTGTGTAATTTGTGCTGTGTGTGTATGTATGTGTGTGTGTGTGTGTAAGGGAGATAGAAAGTTATAGAGAGAATGAGACTCAGCGCACCAGGGAATGAACACACTGATAGCAGGAAGTGCAGACGTACAAGCTGCCCGCTCAAGCAGAAAGGTAGAACACTCTGGCTCAAATTCAAAGACAAGAAGAGAGACACAAATCCAGTCGCACACTGTAACATACACATGTACTGCCCTCTTTTTTCCTCTAACGCGGCATGCTTGGCTTTTCCATGCCAGAGATGATTCAGAGCCCCATCCTCAGCATCTTTATTTTGTAGTATTCATCCCCCAAGGCAGGCATGAATTGCCCTTACTAAATACTTCCTCTGTGTGTGGGGGTCATGGTATTGAAGAGCTCTGGACATGCACTACGTATACATTCTGTGGATTTGCATGACAGGTGAACTGCGGTTCCTGCTGTGGTTGCAATGTTCTGGATTCCCTCACTCAGAGATAGCAGTGCTGACATATCAGACTGTGTCTTTGTTTGTGTATGCTTGTGTACATGCGTGTGCATAGTGAATGCCGCTGCTAATGCATGCATGCATGCATGCATATGTGGATATGTACCTTTGTGTTTATGTTAATAAATATAAAGAAAATGACAGTGTTAATCTTGTTCTGCTCTCTCATGCGTTATGCATGCAAAGTTCATAGATGCAGAGATGTGCTTATAATGCTGTCAACCACAATTGGAAAGCACAAAACCAAAGTATAAATACAGTCAGGGTGATTTAATTATAGGTCAAACATCTATGTTAATCGGATTTTTTGATGTGCTGTTTTGGGAGAGCATCGAGACAGAATCTTACTAAGTTAAGGCAGAGCAGGTACTAGTTTATCCAACACGCTGAACATGTGAAGTACATGTAAGTGGGGCGAGCGTCCCCTGTGCTCACAATGGTCATTTGTCACCGCAATGGCAAGGAACAGTTTAATATTCATCAGTGAGGCAGCCAGTGAGAGGACAAACAACTCTCCTTCCTTTATATTAATACCTTTTAAATCAGTGTTCTTTAGCGCTGCATGCTTCCTCTCGTGCTCCAGGTGCCAGAAATGTTGCTCCATAATTAATGGCTGATTAAAGCTTCAGGGAACATTTACATACAGTAAAAGTCAGCTATGTCTAAATGACAAAAGGCCATAATTTTAACAGATGGATAAGATCAGCAATGTCATAAATTCCATGTTTGAAAAGGGGATTTACTTACCTATAGTACCCTTTTGCCTAAGTTAAAAAAGTTTTCTCTCCACACAGTCGGCTGAAGGGTTAGAAGGTTAGAAGTAACAGCCCGAGTGCTCAGCTTCAAAATCCAGATTAACTCATATTTGACTCTACTTTATGCATTCAAATACCATCCAGATTTTTCTTTGTCCTGCAAAAGCAAGATTTAATTTTATTCCTGTCGTGGATTTAGCCCTTTTGTTTCCTTTCTCTCCCCACTCCCTTGTTTGCCAAAGCTCTTCCTAGACAAAGGATTCAGCTAGCTTTTGATAAGAATTACTACATCGAGCCATCATTCGAGTGCCGCTTCGATCACATCGAAATCCGCGATGGGCCATTTGGGTTCTCGCTGCTCATTGATCGCTTCTGTGGGGGAAAGAACCCGGGCCTGGTTACATCGACGGGACGTTTCATGTGGATCAAGTTCACCAGCGACGAGGAGCTGGAAGGCCTGGGCTTCCGCATTAAGTACACCTTCATTGCAGGTAGGGACACCCAAGTTATATATTGGCAGTTAATATACTGTAATTCCACAGTGCAATCTCAGATTCTTGAAGCTGATTTCTGTATGCATCAAAGGTTTTGGGTTATATATGTAAAGAACGGAATCTGGTTCATTTGTTTTTTATAAAGTCCCCCAAAATATAGGTGAGAATCCACCCATCTCCAACAATATCATAGCCTTCTTTCCATTCCTTTTCTTGCCCTACAGCAGACATCAGAACCTCCTGAATCTAAACCCAATATGCCTAGAAATCAGTGTCTACCATCAGGTGACAGATATTAGCTTCAAAGAGACCCCTCTCTGCTTCATCTGGCTCAGCTTAATGGGATCTTATCTTGTGTTCTCTGCTTATCCATTTCTGCTGTGTGGATTGAGAGTAATGTGCCTCCCGAATCTTATCATTTCAGACCCTGATTTCCATCTGCACGTGGGCGGCCTGCTGAATCCCATCCCAGGTGAGCTCTTCAGTAGTTCGCCGTTTTGTGTTCGATCCTATTTGAAGAGCTCTTTTAGCTCAGAAGCTTACCGGAGGCGATCTCTGCCGCCGACATGAATGCTGAACGTGCAAATGTACCTTGACAAGCACACAATTGTACAACAAGTGAGAGGATGTACATACACAGACATGCACACATTAAAACACATGAAGGAACACACACACACACACGTTTCATCCTGATCTTTCTGCCTTTGTTCCTCTGTCCTCTTATTGTCCTAATCCGCTGTGCTCACTTCAATTCCACCTTAAATCCTTTCCTTCTTTAAAATCCTTCGTCTGTCCCTGTCTGTCATGCTCCTCTTCTCATCCTACCCCTTTTCCCCTTAATCTTCTGCTCTTTCTTCTCCCTCTCTCTGTTTCTGCACTCTTTTTTTACTTCTCTCATGTGCTTCCGTGTGACCCCTTTCGCACCTTCCCTGTCCTTTACATCGCTCTTCCTCTTTCTCTTATTTCCTCCGTCTTTGTACAGACTGTCAGTTTGAAACCGGTGGATGGGATGGGATTATTCGCTCCAGTCAGGTGGAGGATGAAGAGAAAGTGAAGCCCGGTGATGCTCTGGACTGTATCTGGACCATCAGGGCTCCTCCTCAGTCCAAGGTCAGTACAAAGGACCGTATTAGTCATCAGGAATAACGGCATGTGTTGCTTCTATCCTATCCTTCAACCCATGTTTGGTACTCTGAGAATTCTCCATTTTGAAATAGAGACCAACCCACGGCCTGGTCTGTGACTCTTTGGATGACTTCAACTCAAAGTACAAAATAGCTCACAAACGCACGGCTTAACATGATGTAATTAGTAGTTATGATGTAAATTACTAAAATGCACTGAGAACTCCCGATATATTAAAGTATTCAAGGACTTTTATTCATCTCATCTTTGTGGGATATTTCTTTTCGACACTCGCTCCACTGAAAGACTGAACAATATTAGAGGACATTTTACATCTGAATCATCTAACACTCAGTTATCTCAGTTATTTTCTACCATTTCACTACCCTTGTAGACCCTGAAATGTGTTGTTGCACATCCCTCTGAGTGCATTCTAAAGCTGAATGTTTATTTCGGTCAAATTGCTGATGTTTTGTAATCAGTATGAATGGTGAAAAACTGCATGGAGTTGCTTTTTGTTCAAAGCTGGGCCACATTACAAGTGATACAAAATATCATCTAGCTGGTGACACATGCAGTCTATCCCAGATATAAATAGTCACCCGAAATAAGAAATCTGATGAGAAATAATTGAGAAATTAACCATGAAGTCTGAATAGTGAAAACCCCCCTGTGTACCATCTGTCTGTTTGTAGAGTTACACCAGCACTTCACCTTGACACTGTTCTCCATGTTCACATTATCATTCCTTTTCAGTTTGTCAGTGCGTGTTTCAATGGAGAATTCCTATTCTTATTATCACATACTCTGTATGAATGCATACAGCATACAGCTGTGTTCTCCAGTCACTGAGAACAAAGCCTCCCAGTGGCCATGTCAGTGTTGTGATTGTAATTTAACACATAATGGGAATGAACAGTGCAAATACACAAAGAGGCAGCATGGGAAAAAGCAATGCAGGCAGATTGTATTGAGAAAATGTAGCCCTGGAGATTCATAAGTACATTTTCAAGCCAAGAGTGAAAGCCCAGTTATGTGTTCTCATAAATTTTGATATTTATGAGTGGGTATCTGAAACCCCATTGAAATTACAGCCATAAACTGCCTAGCTTTGATTCACTGCTGCTCTGCTTCTGCCTCATGACTAAATGAGTCATCAGCACGCTCCTATACTACTCACTTGCCACAACAATACAGTATATGACACACATGCACACACAAATTCATGCACATCTAATGAAAACAGCAGATGTACAGTCACAAATTACACAATATACTGTCACAGAGTTCTGTAAGCAATTACCTATACACATTTTACACCCATATGTAATGTTATACGCATACGTACGCAATGTTCACGCATGACTCACACACATGCTCTGCCTGACTTCTCTCTCACACACACTCACAGATTAATCTCCACAGTCATTTCGCTGGTGCTGCGTGTGCAGCGTGAGGCAGCAGTGAAGAGGATCTGAATTTAGCAGCAGCACCGAGTTGCCGAGCTAGATATTAGCTCAACGAAGCAGAAGGAGCAGAGCAGCACACTCAGCAGCAGTACAAGAGCAGCTCCTTAACTGCTGCGTGCTTACAGGAGCCTGTGTGCTAAATGTGCTGAAGTTTCATCTACGTTTTTTTTCTTATCATGTCATTACTGCTGACTTATTCAAACAATTTAGAGACATTATTTTGTAATTACTTTGCAGGTTGAAATGTAACACTTCTATGTGTTTAGGCTAACTAACGGCAGGCATGTGTGTGGACAAGCGCAAACCACAGGCTCTGTAGTTGGCGTTATTAACAAAGACAGTTAGACATGCCTCAGGAGGAAAAGCATACATTTAACGATGGCTAAATTCAGTTTGGCTGCGTCGGTTTCAGGGTCTTGTTATTTATTGTGCATGCTGTCTCACTGTCACACTCAGGACTTACTGGGACACAAAAGAACAGAGCCATCTTTAATATCATTAGCAACAGCTGTGCCTTTCCTGCTCTGACAAAAAAAGGTCTGCTGTGAAAAAGGTCTATTCAAACACAGGACACGTGCACAAACACAAGTTGTATCTCAATTTTCACAAAAGACATTTTGACAGTAACAAAAGCACAGTTAACAACAACACTTTTCGTTAAAATCAGCCAGTTCCTATTGAACACACTCGCTAGCTGAAGTGGCTTATCGTTAATATTATTAGTTACACCTGTGAGGAAGGAGGGCCTTTTTGTTCTTGAATTTGGAGGACACACTGGTGTACTTTTGTCAGTTCTTTGATATTTCCATCAAATCTTAAGTTAGTAGAATATCACATGAGAGTAGTACTTTATAAGGACATCTTTTCAGTCTGAGGCCAGACTCTCTCGTGTTCGGAGGAGGCGCAGGTTCAGCTCACTAGCCTTCAGTCCCAGGGGCATTCTCTGAATGGAGACACATCTCAGAGAAGAGAGGAGGGTGTGGGAGACAGAGCAGCACCGTCACAATCATTTTCAAAGACTGACTTTTCTAAGTAGCAAGTTATTTGTGTATGAATGGTGTGTGCCTGCCTCACAACTTGGATTAGATTTGTTTAATTTGATTCCATTGTCCATTAATGCATCTTCTAAGCTGTTTATCCTGTTTCTGTCCCAGCATGCTCTGGTGAAGAGGTGGGCAGGTCTCCGGTCTACCACAGGGTTCTGCTTTGATCTTTTCCATTCTCTTCCTTATCTGTGTTTTTAAATTTAGTAAGTAAATTTGCTTTACTGAATTAATGTAATATTTTCCACGTATTTGCATTCATAAAGAGTCCAGCTGCTGGCTATGGTTAGACCGCTAACAAGCAAGGATTGCTGTGGAGTTCTGTCATTCATTTGCCTCCACATTGATTTGCATCTCCTGTCTATCTGCAGATCTACCTGCGCTTCATGGAGTACCAGATGGAACACTCTAATGAGTGCAAGAAGAACTTCGTGGCCGTGTATGATGGCAGCAGCGCCATCGAGAACCTCAAGGCCAAGTTCTGCAGCACCGTGGCCAATGATGTGATGCTGGATAACGGCGTGGGAGTCGTGCGAATGTGGGCTGATGAGAAGAGCCGCCTCAGCAGATTCCGCATGCTCTTCACCTCATTTGTTGACCGTGAGTAACACTCTTCTTGACCACATACCTCAGCCTTGACCCTGTTTTCCCATGTTGTTCCACCATATCTGTTGAATTGTGTCATTCTTACGCCTTGTATCATTTTCATTCATTATATGTTACAGTTTTGATGCTATGCTATTGCTTAGCACTTCAGTATCTTCTCTTTGTGGCTCTCTGTAGCTCTTTCTTAATTTAATACGACCACAACAGGAAGAGCTACATAGCCTGAGTGCCTCTTTGGTGTTAAACTTATTGATTTTGAACTCTTTGTTTATCTGTTTGGCCTGTATCTCATTCAAAATATGACATTGTGACGAAGCAAGATGATACGTCTTGTGATAGAGGTAGATCCGATTCCTTGTCCTTGTTGCAGATTTGGTCTGAATTGTGTGCAACTCAAAAGAATAGAGCTCACTAATAGAAAAAAAGCTCTGTTCCAGTTTCCTTTGCCCCTTGTGACTGTGTAACTCTCTGTAATATGCCATCACTTTACTGCAACAGCCACGACTTTATCCACCCACACACAGAAAACAGACCCAAGAACAGTTGATTTACGAGGTCCTGCATTCTGTCTGCGTCAGTAGTCACTGACGGACACGGTGTGTCAAGTGTCATTTCAGCATGGAAAGCTAATTACACTGGGCCATGTTTGGAGCATAGATATGAGAAAACAAATTATTTACTCCAGCATTTTTAAATTACTGAAAGCATCAAATCATTTTTGATAAGCATGTCGCAGCATGATACTGTCCCTATTATAGGCCATTTACCATGGGAATTTATCTGTTTTGCTGAAAAGAAAACCTGAGTAGGGTTAATGGATCTACTGGAAGTAATTATGCATTAAGCGTCATCATTTCTGAAGGACAAGAAACTTTCTAACAGATGCTGATAAAGGTTTCACATAAAGTAGCAGGAATTGCCATGCAGGAAACAGTTTTTCTATTAGCGCACCGTAATATTTTCATTAAATGCCTGAATAGTCTCAGATATTAATTGTCACATTCTCCTGCACACTTCCCAAACCCTGGGTGAATGCTAATGTTGTTTTCAGCAAACCCATAACCATTGCAGTCAGAATTTAATGGCCTTCTATATTCAGCAGAGGTTGGGTTTTTTTACTCCGAGAGTCCTTAAGACCATTTGGATCATCGTTAATTCTGATCACACAGTTCATCTCCGGGAAGTCTGAAGTCTCTTGAGTACCTCCCAAACTTTATTTGGTCAGAGTCAGTGACTGGCTGAGAGTTGACTTGGAGGTCAGAGGGAACCATTAATCTTTGTCACTCAGAGAACAAGATGAGTTTTGCATTCTGCACTCCATCATCCTTAATGTGCAGTAATCTTCTGACAGAGCCCCCTCTGACATGTAAAGCAGACGTATTAAGACTTTCCTGAATACTCACTCATACCCACAGTGTGCATGTGTTCAGATGGGAGTTTTGTGTGTGTGTGTGTGTGCGTGCGTGCGTGTGTGTGTGTGTGGAGGGAGGGCGGGTAGGGGTGAGTGGGTGAAGCGTTGTTGACACCCTGTGAGACGCTACATTTTGAAGGCGGGACACGTATAATGGATTTGGAAGTGATCCCAGTGTCAGGGGAGCGACCCCATCTACAGGCTCACTGGGAGATAGATCGGGTGGACACTCCGTCACAACGCACACGCACTATATTACACACGCCCTTCCACACATATATACATGTCCCTTTGTCAAAATGATTTAACCCTGAGGCAGAGGAGGCATGGAGGGAAGTGGAGGCTCAGAGCCCTCATCACAGTGGACCTCGGAGCAGTGGGTGAAGCTGGTGGAGCTGTGATCAGGACTCAGAAAGTGACTCATGTTTTAGTCAGAAGGGGCTGAATGAGAACAGATTGGAAGAGTGAACAAGCCATAAGGGACATGTTGAATATGATGTACAGATGATGTGTTTGACACTGATCACTCGGTCCGTTTGTGGTACCGTGGAGGTTGTGTGGCTCAGTTTCTATGTTGTGGCTCTATGTTCTTCACGTATGTTTGTAATCTATTTAATAATATGTAGTTCAATATAGTCATTCAGATTTTTCATGTTATTTCGATCCACTTTTACACCCACCATTTACTGCATGTCTGTCGGTCCTGGAAGAGAGATCCCTCTTGTCTGAGATTTCTTTTGTTTTTTTTTCCCTGTTAAGGGTTTTTGGGGTGGAGTTTGTGAAATTTGTGATTTAGGATTTTGAGCTACATAAGTAAAATTGGCTGGACTTGACTCAATTGAAGAGATGGAAAAAATGGAGAGAGAAAAAGACTCATTTGTCATATGTCTTATGTCTCAAATTGGAATTTTGTTGTTGTTGTCAACACCTGAGGCAAAATAATTTGATCATAAAATGCTGTTTTAGTTCCACATAGTGACAATGTGATTCTACGGAATGCATCAAAAAGATACAGCTCTTTGCTTAATCCGGAGATGGTTTCACAAAGATGTTGTCTTTTTGACCTAACAAAGCATTAGACTTAAGATAGACATCACACCAGTCCAGTTCATCTCCAGGACTAATATAGCTTTGTATTCAAGGTAAATAAAGATTCTCTTCAAACTAATAAACATGGCCGGTGGCTCAGTTGATAGTTTCAATACATTTTCACCTGTTAAATGGGAGATCTGGGTTTGATTCTTCTTTTTCCCTCAAGATACCAAAGCAGAAAAACAACCACAACACAGTGTTAATGATCAATAGTAAACGTTGTGCCGGCCCGCTACACATCCTCGGGTCTAATGGGGGAAAAACTACAGAACACAAGAAATATTATGCCACAGCTTTTCAACCGACTTCCGCATCTCCAGCCCCAGACTGTCTATAGCAAAACCCAGACATCTGCATCTGCTCTGAGCCTTGCAGCTCTTCCTCCTGACTGGCAGTGCATCGATCTCTGGAGCCCAGCAGCCAGCATCAATTACCAGTCATCTCTGTCTCTGCCATCGCAGCCTTCACACACCAACAGTCACTTTAATGTGGGATGTCTCACGGCACTATAGCCTGACCACTTACACCACATGAAGCCATTTCTACCACCACCCCCACCACCTGCCGTTCTTTTCATCTTCTCCTCTTTTCCATGTTTCTCCTCTCTGCCTACTCCCAGTTTTGCCACTCCCCTCCCTCTCCTGTTTCTCAAACTCCTTTGACGTGAAGGCTGCAGTGCAGTGAAGCTGCCATCTCCTCAGCTCATTGCCCCCTGATGTTGTGTCTGCAGGAAATGATGATGTATGGACTGTCTTTGTTAGACCTCTCTCGTCTTTTATTACATGCTTCAACAGATTTCTACAGCCAATTTATCAATCTTTTATTGTTGTTTGTTGTTTTATTGTGATCATCACAATAGCTTCCAGTCCTTTTCACAGCACTGTTAAACAACTGTTTTCCTGTTGTTTTCTGAATTACATTATCGCTACGTATTATCTTTTGCCCGCAGCACCCTGTTCAGGCAATTCATTCTTCTGCCACAGCAACATGTGCATAAACAACTCCCTGGTGTGCAATGGAGTTCAGAACTGTGTGTACCCGTGGGATGAAAACCACTGCAAAGGTGATCAACCTCTTTTTGTCAACTTTTACTAATTGAGGTTATTATGGTTAATTAGGATTTATTCATGCAGGTTTTCAGGGTTGCTGTTCCATTTTTTTTTTTTACATATATTTGTTTTCTTTTTCTATTGCATATTTGTATTTCTTTTTCTTATTCTCTCCTCTCCTCTCCCCTTCCCACTCCAGAGAAGCAATCTCAGGGGCTTTTTCATCAGATCACTAAGACCCACGGCACCGTCATTGGTGTCTCATCAGGCATAGTTCTGGTTCTTCTCATCATCTCCATCCTGGTCCAGATGAAGCAGCCAAGGAAAAAGGTAGCTCATGCTTTGTGGTTGACCTTTTGTTGAGCAGGAAAGAAGAGACACATAATTGAAAGCGATGGTGGGATTCTAGACGACGTGGGGCCGCTATAATTGCTCTGGAGACAGGGAAGAAAGACAAAATCCACCCGTAGATTTTACACCATTACACGCCATATCAAATATAACTGCAGTATATCATAGAGTTAAAGGTGATTTTATTTTTTGGTTTAACCACTTTCTGTTAATCCGTCTCATCTATTCTTAGTCAAGTTTGTGAAAAACATATTTATTACTTATCTATTGAGACTTCTCTGTAAGAAAAATTAGAGTTCCTCTGTAGTGGACTTCTCCATGTATGACTGCTGAATATTGGGCAAAATGGTGACTCTAGAAAGGACCTCTGGCTTTTTGACACCGAGCAGCTCATATTTTAAATGTGTGTAAATGATGTGCAAACAAGTATTGTGCATTTCAAACAAAGGACTTTCAACAGGGAGGCCGGTGTTTGTGTCTCAAAGTATTCTGAGATATTTCTAAGTTACTTTAGTGATTTTGTGGCATGCTTTTCGTATTAATGTTATGTATTTTAAGCCCAGCTATGATATTTTCTCTTAACCAAGTGGTTTTGTTGCCTAAACCCAAGCAGGTGTTTTTGTTTGAATTCACACCGTTACCCACAGGTTTACTGTGAACGTGTTGTGTAAACTAGTGGCCTTCTAACCACTCAAATTGAACTGTCCGAATGGATCTTCTTCTTTTCAAGGTCGTAGCTCGCCGGCCAGGTGTCTTCAACAAGGCGGGCTTCCAGGAGGTCTTCGACCCGCCCCACTACGAGCTCTTCTCTCTACGTGACAAGGAGATATCGTCAGATTTAGCTGACCTGTCTGAGGAGCTAGACAGCTTCCAAAAGCTGCGGCGCTCCTCCACCATGTCCCGCTGTGTCCACGAGCACCACTGCGGCTCGCAGGCCTCGGTGGCTACGGGCTGTGGCAGTATGAAGCACAGCCGCACCACACTGAGCTCCATGGAGCTGTCCTACCACAACGACTTCTCCAAGCCACCGCCCATGAAGACTTTCAACTCCACCGCCAGCTACAAGAAGAGCTGCTACGGCTACAAGCAGCACGCACAGACTCACGACTGCGACCAGCAGGTCATCGAGGACCGCGTCACAGAGGAGATCCCGTGTGAAATCTACGGCCGTGGAGGAGGAGGTGTGGGAGGAGGAGCCATGGGTGGAGCAATGGGAGGAGGAGGAGCATCAGGGATTGCAGGAGGAGGGATCGGAGGAGCAGTGGGGATAACTGGAGGAGTGGCGATGGCGGGGGGAATGGGTATGGTGGGAGGAGTGGGCATGGCGGGGCCTAGTGGCATCACTGGAGGTATCGGCGGGGGGATGGCAGGAGCCTGCGGAACCCTCAGTGTCCGTGGAAACAGCGCTCGTAACAGTACCACCATGGTTGACCCACAGCAGCGCTCCATGTCCATGGACTTCTAGATGGTGAACGGAGAAAGGGAACCCAGAGAGAGCTCATATTTCATGTCAGAAGAGACGAGAGAAGAGTAGACAGGAGAGTCACAATAATCTTAAATTGATCACTCCTCTTCCCTCTTCTGCCTTTGCTTTCAAAGCAATATTAAAAGTATTGCACTCAAAGTCTGGTCTGATAGTTTGGGAAATAAGCAGATACGAACCAAGAATCAAAAAGTGGATAAAACTGGACTGTTGGTTCTATTCTTCAGGATACTGAGCGAAGGGAGGGTGGAGACATCTAGTCTCTCCTCCAGTCTTACACTCTTTTAATCTCTCCTTTTCATAAAACACATATAAGAAGAGGGTTCTCGCATGCAGACCCAGACTTCTCTCTGTTTGGGAGCCTAGAAGACCAGGTAACCGCTCAGAAACAAGGAGAGAATAAGATGGAGAGATGCCCTGGACTGACTTTCTACATTTATTCACCTGACATGCACAGATATATGATATAAAGTGCGTCTTCTAATAATTTGACTCTTTATTTTTGTCAGTGTACTGTACTGTACTGTTAAAACCAGTATATATCCAGCCTCATGATGATGCTTGGCTTTTAACTCTTTAATCTTTTTTGCTCAGATGATTTTATGAAGATGACTTGTCCATGAGATATGGTGTTGATTATGATGATGATGGTGGAGTTGCTGTTGATGATGATGATCAGAAATATGATGATGATGTTAAAGATGTGATATTACTATAATAATTCTGTGATTTTCATGGTTACCTCACACATACACAGAAGGTACGCTCCGTTCAGTCTCTCCTCAGGAAGAGCACATGAAGAGACTCAAGAGTCTTATTTTGGTAAGAAGTAGAGAAAAAAAAGTCTATTTCTGCTCGTTGAGCTTTATAGCATATGGACATTCGGGCTGTGAGTGATCGTTTATGGAACAGGAAATGTTTGGTTGTGAGACTCGGACTGAATCAAAATAGAAACCATCCCACTCCCAAACCCCACCCTTACCAGGAGAACATGTACCTTCTCATTGTCCCCATGAACTGAGTGTGTAAAAACAAGCACAACCTGTTACCCTGATGAGACAGACATGTAGCCTATACGGGACTCATTTATGATTTTAACTCACTGGTTGTATAATTTCATTCTGTTGAATTAAATGAGAGCTTACTCACCTCCCTGTGTGAGCTTTTCTGTTCACTTTAACCAAGAAAGATGAAAATGGCAGCAAGGTAAGACACACACTGACACGCAGATAGAAAAGAAGTAGCCTATTTGCATGCAAAGATGCTTTAAGCATTGTAAACCTCAAGATGTAGTTTAGGGTTAGATGTTCCCAATGTAAGGATGATTCATTCCAGCTGTTGCAATATGATCAGTTCTGCCTCAAATATCAATAAACAAAATGCGTAGAGATGGTGCTGATGGTCTTGACTGCCCACCATGAAAACAGGTTTATATTATTATTATTATTATTCGGTCACTCACTTATACTCACATATTCCACTCACCCTTTCCTTTGCTAACATGATGCATTTTGTCCTGGATAATGATCAAAGCACCCTTTCAAAATATGTGACCTTCAGAAACTGGATCCGGCTCTGAGGATTTGGTCTTCTGTCACACAGATGCATATAGTCCAGGAGCCTTAAGGTCGTCTATATGTATAATAATAACCAATATATTATGCTGGGATGATAGTCACCTGCAGACAAATTGCTCTCCAATCAACAGTCTGGACATGAAACTCTGTTTTTCTATACAATATTAAGATGAACAGCATTTGAATGAGTCAGATATAGATAATATCTTAACTTTAAATACTTTCCCATTAGTCAGAGTTATAGGCTACATAAGATTTGTCAAATGATATAACTCAAAACTTAGTTTTGTCCAGTCAGAACATCAGCTTAAAAATGTTTAAAAAAAATCTTCATTTGGATGATGAAAAGTACACTTAATTAGTTAGGACTAGTTAGAAGTGGAGACATCTTAACATTGACTTATTATAAGTCACGCATTGCTAGTTTGAATTCATGAACTTAATCCAAAATCGAATTTATATTTATTTGGAGACTCCGTAAAACTTCATGAGTATTGAAAATATTAAGAATGTGTCATTTTGAGGTGTAATGAGTTATGAGTTGGCCTAGTGTTTTGGAAAGTAAGTAACGTAAATAAATGAATGTTAATCTGGTCAAGATAACATGCGAATAAACCGTTTACCATATTCTTGTTATTCAGTGATACATGCAGCTTTCACAAACTCAAGTCTCTGCATTTCATAATAAAGTGGACCGCAACAATACAGAACAAACGCATTACATAATTTCCCCAACACCTAAGCACGAACAGAAGCAGGTGCGCAGAGCACACCTGAGGCGTATTAAACTTAACAGCTGTTTTACAGCCCCACATGCACACAACAAAACCATTCAAAAAGCATCACAGCCATCCAACTCTCAGCTAAATTCCCCATGGCCAAGGAGGCAGATGAATTGTTATTGCACACCACGCTTTATGTGGTCGTGTAAAGGTTAACGATGATGTTTCCTGCAAAGCTGATTTCAAGTGGTCCATAGTTGTTTAACAAGTCTTCTGAGGCAGTTTCTCATATATTTGATATTTCTCCTTAAGTATGAGGATCTCACCAAAGCATAAAGTCACTGGAAGACTGTTTTTTGAGAGTTGAGATTTGATGGATTATTGTGTTCAACAAAGTTGATCACCTGCATATTAAAAAAAAAAAAATTGTCACTAAAAGTGTTTCTGTCATATAGAGGTTTTTTTTTTTAGCCAGTGGGTCATCATCCTGACTAGACCTATAATATGGCTGACATTTTGGCAACCCCATTCCTCTTGTTGATTTTGGTTTCTGTAAGAGTGCCTTCCTTGTTCTGGATTTTTTTTTTCCATTCGAAATGAACTCTGAGATAATTGTATCCATGCTGGAACAACAACAACAAAAAAGACGTATTGAAATACATTGATACAAACATTACAATTTCGAGAGGATGGTCATTTTAATGATATTAATTCGGCAGATCTTGCAACATGTGATTGAATATTTTTTATAAAAAGTTCTCCTTGTAAAGATCTGCAAAGGTTTTAGTGGCATTGACTCAAGTATTTGAACTTAGTTGAAAACCTTAAAGGAAACATGAAAAAATACATTATTAATCTGCAAGAACATTAATTGGGATCAAATACTTTATCTATGTATTTACTCACGTTGAGCCTATTGGTGATATTATTTTTGAGACACGAGCTCAAAAATTGAAGTCTGTGTGGCGGTAGGTAAATTAGCAGTCATTTATGACACCTGCAGCCGGGAGGCAGCAGCGTACACGCGGAGCGTCTAACTTTCCGGAAACTGAGACACGAGGCGAGTAAAACATTTTCTACCGGCTCTTTCTCTTTGTCCATCCACCTCCAGCTGAAGCGACATCCACAGCGACACCATGGCGACTGTTGTAGACACAAAACTATACGACATCCTCGGAGTGTCTCCATCCTCTACTGAGAATGAGCTGAAGAAGGTAATTACACACGAAAGACTGAACAGACTACGGAGTTACATTACGTTTCTGTCTCGAGTTCCAAAGTGTTAAAAATGCTACAATCAGGAAATGCGTTGCTATGCGCAGCTAGCTGGCTAGCTGGCTAGCTTGGGCTAGCCTGCTAACACGCTAACTGGCTAGCTTGGGCTAGCCTGCTAACACGCTAACTGGCCTGGATGCTCATGTGACGATGATGCTGTAACGTTGAACGATTATGGGTTCTGTCAAATCAGGAGTTTGTTTTATCGCATATACAGCCAACACATACCCTCTCATTGTCTTTCTTAAATATGAAACTTGCATTATTCATAAGCAAGGTTGAGTTAACTTGGATTGTGACGTTAGCGGTTGACCTCACGTTAGCTTTAGCTCAGATGGTTGTCATGTAGTTGGCTAACGTTAGCTAACGTTAAGCCGGTCGAAGGTTCTGGAATGAGGTAACCTAACATTGGTTTGTTCTTCTAACAGTTGGCCACCTGACAGACAAACGTTTGTGTAGTGAGTGAGTGTGACAACATTGTTTTTAGTAGCTTTAGCTGACTTGACTATCGATCGTTAGTAAGGTTAACGTACAGTAACGTCTGTTCGGTCGTACAGTAACGTTACCCTACGCGGTTAACGGCAACACCACTTGAAGTGGGGCCTGGACGTTTTTCCATCTCAAGCCGGTCTACTACACATAACGCTCAAAATAAAGTTAAAATGTTAACGTTTAGTCAGACCTCCGCTAGCATAAACTAGCTCGTTAAACATTGCGTGCCATTTTAACCATTTCCTTGTGAGCTAACCCATTAAGTTATAACTCTGTACGGTTTCACGTGGGAGTTCAGTATTTAGTATCTATTTACAGTCTCTTGTTCAACATTATTGACGTTAGGCGAGAGGGCAGACGCTTGTCACTTTGCGGTTATTGTTAGCAATATATGCTAATTAGCACAAGCACGTTTACATTAACGTTAGTCACTTAAAAACTCAGACATTTTGATGTACCTTTTTTTTTTTTTTTTTTTGACAATCGTAATTAAGTTCCGGGTATAATGTAACGTTAGTAGTGAGTAACTGACGTAATACAAGGAAGCTGATAGCCAGTTAGTCATTAAACCATTGGGCTTAAACATCACGTTAATTAACATGTTTAACGCAGTTACAGGTAACGGTGGTTTTTTGCCGGCTGGAACTTCTGGTTTCGTCAGGGAGGCACGTGTGATTGCGTAAACAGTAGATACAGGTTATTCATATGAATTGGTGTCATAGCAGTGTGTGATTCCAGTAAAGGAGGCATGTCTACAATGATAATGGTATCCGACAATAAGGCTCCCTCTTTTGTGTACTTCTAGGCTTACCGGAAACTGGCCAAAGAATATCACCCTGACAAGAACCCTAATGCTGGTGACAAGGTAAGACCTTTGTGACTTTCCTCTTCGTTTTGAAATGGGGAGCAAACTAGAATATGTCAGGCATATGTTTTAGAGTGCTATGTATGATCGCTGTTGGTTTGAAGGAGGCACTTTTTTGAGCTAATCTTTGAGCTATTTTTAATGTGTTAAATTACAAATTTGTATTTGGAGTGAGGTTTTATAGAACAGAGTTTTGTTTATTTTCTGTAGTCCCGACGGTGGCTTAAAAATAATTTTTAGTGTTATCTATCTTTTCCAATAAGATTAAAGCATTGATATTATGTTCTGTCACTATTTCTTTTTTTCAACATGCGCTTCAATTTCGCCAGCCCCCTATCATCACAGACCTCCCACAGCTCTACATAATGTTATTAACTTATAATGTAGCTTTTTGGAAGATGGGTGGAAACATTAAGAATTGAGTGCCTCTCCATCTTTCCACATATCACAGAGTGCCATTTTCTCAACAGGGGATCACATTGTTAGCAATAGGACATGTCATCGTAGGAGAACTAACCTGGAGGCAGTATTTGTAATGTGGAAAACATGAGATTCAACTCTGCAGTGATGTCATTGATTGTAGGCATTGGCATCCTGTTGAATTGATTTGTTTTGTTTTATTTTTTATTTTTCAGATTTAATCATGTAATGCAATTCTATCTTTACATTTGAAACTTTAATCATTCATCAAAGGACTGGTTCAAATTAGGTGGTGTTATATGTATAAATTGATTAACATTTAGTTTTCAAATTCTTAATAAGTTTACAGATTTACTTGTCTTAATGGTTTCTAACTCCAGGACCTTTTTAAGAGTTTATGGGATGTTGAGCGACGGGACATGTGATTGTTGTGGAATGAATCCTATGTAAGGATATTACCACCTGATGCATGCTTTCCCTGGGAATGCTGTCCCTTTTGTTCCCAACAGAGATGAGGTAAAGGATAAATGGTAAATCGTTCCAGGTCCTCAGCCGTGGTTTATTTGCTGTTGATTTGTTGTCAGACAGCTCCGCTGCTCTGACAGTAGGGATGTTGATAATTAACAGCTTACAGACAATCATTTTGACCAATTAATGTAATCGGTTAAAAGACTTTTACTTTTTTTAGACTCCGAGAGGTGTCTTGTCAATTAAAGGAGAACAGCTGGTCCACCTTAATTGAGCCTTAGCCAGAGTTGTTGCTACCACCTTCACTTTAATCAGTAGGAACCAACAAGGAGTTGTAGCATTGATTCACTGACAAATAACCTGTAAAGTTACACACTGCATAGAGGTTCACAGCTATTAGGTTACTGCTAACTTCATACTCCTTGTCACACATACACTCTCGTGTTCAGACACTAGCTAATGTTACGCTTTGCTTTCCATACACTGCCTGGCATACTCTGTCTGGGTTTCCTCCACACACAGCTGACAATGTTAAAGCTAAACTATTTGATGCGATGGAGACTTGCTGGGAAAGTGGCTGCATACACAATACACGCAACACCATGGCTGCTAACTCTCCCAGACAGGTGAACGAGGGACTCGGTTGCCTGTTTTTCGCATACACAGCAGCTGGTGGTAAACGATGGATTTAACCAGATCTGTGCATCGGTTATCGTTGCAGCTGGGCGGCTTGTTAGGGGTTTCTACCACAGCACCCCTGCATGCATGGCACTGATCTTGCCAGTTAATAATCGGCTAAAGAGGGTCCACTGTCGGTCAGAAAAGAAACAAATCTTACAGTTGAAATTACAACTTGTTACATTTTTTTTGTTCTCTCAAAACACAGTTCAAAGAAATCAGTTTTGCCTATGAGGTGCTGACCAACCCTGAAAAGAAGGAACTTTATGACCGCTATGGAGAACAAGGCTTGCGGGAAGGAGGTGGGGGTGGCCCAGGGATGGACGACATCTTCTCCCACATCTTTGGCGGTGGACTTTTTGGATTCATGGGAGGCCAGGGGGGTCGTGCAAGGAATGGAGGTCGGAGGAGAGGAGAGGACATGGTCCATCCACTCAAGTAAGACCAAGCTTGTCCACTCGTGTATAGGCTAATTGAGTTCAATGCTCTTTATGTGCAAAATGATTTTCTATTGGATTTAGTTAAAAAGTCCTTGGTGTCCACTACAAGCCAATGTTGTACTGTCTCTTATGTTACTTAGCAGTATCTAAAACCACACTTTTTCTACAGGGTGTCACTGGAGGACGTTTACAACGGGAAGACAACTAAACTTCAACTTAGCAAGAATGTACTGTGTAGTACTTGTAACGGGTAAGTTGTATAACCAACATGGTGTTAATGTCTGCTTGATCATGAAGTCTATTGCAGTGTTGATGTGTTTCTTCTAACATGAATCCACCTCTGGGTGTGTCTGCATGCAGGCAGGGAGGCAAGACGGGCGCTGTTCAAAAATGTACCTCGTGTAGGGGGCGTGGCATGCGCATCATGATCAGACAGCTGGCCCCAGGAATGGTCCAACAGATGCAGTCTGTGTGTACCGATTGTAACGGAGAAGGTAAGTGATCTGAAGCGAGATCTAGCATGTAGTCTGTGTATTATTGTGGCCTGGCCTGCACACATCCCTCACCGTGTCTCATTTAACCAACTCCAGGTGAAGTTATCAGCGAGAAGGACCGCTGTAAAAAATGTGAGGGCAAGAAAGTCGTGAAAGAGGTGAAGATTCTGGAGGTACACGTGGATAAAGGCATGAAGCACGGCCAGAAAATTACCTTCGGAGGGGAGGCTGACCAGGCACCTGGCGTCGAGCCGGGGGATATAGTCCTCGTCCTGCAGGAGAAAGAGAATGAGGTAGGTGGGCCTGTCCTGTTTCCCATATGCACTCAGCCATATAAGTGAGCCACTCATTATTTCCTGTCCATGAAAAGGTGACAACTGTGTACATAGCTGTATAGGAGTGGATTTGTTTCTTTAATATACAGCCAAAAAAATCCCAAAGAACTGTCTGGAACAGGTTCATCATGTTTCATGATGGGCTACTGCTACAAAAATAAGTCTATCTTGGATTCATAAAAAAAGTGTCACCGTTCCTGTAGGATTTTTATTTTCAGAGTCAGTTTTGTGTAAAAGCTTTATTACAATCGGTGAATATAGTTCAACAATTCTCAAAAGCTGCTTCACAATAAAAGCCAAACTCAAAATTTGCTGGGATCTCAAACGTCGTAGTTCCAGCATGCTTTCTGACAGCTGTTGTCTGCTATTGTTCTGAAGCTTTGCTTTGTCCCTTTGATGCATTGAGCTTGGTCTTTGTGTTTTTTATTGTTTTATTCCTCATTCCTGCTAAAGCAGTTTAAGAAACGTGTGCATGACCTGCCTTAGATTTAGAGGGGCACGAAATTCTTCTGTCTTGGCACGACGACTTGAGTGCAATGCTGCTGTTTTGGCAGTATTTCGTATTTTGTGTGACAGATTGTGCAAAAAGAAAATCGAAGTCAAAATAGGCTACTTGTCTGTCAAGAGGGTTGTCTCTTGATGAAATGCAACATGACTTGGATAAGAGATGGCAGGTTTGTCCTGTAGAATATCACCTGGTTACACATTGGGAAGCAGTTGGAGGAGAACCTTCAGGAGAGTTTTCACAGCTTGTATCGTACATGTTGGCTCCAATAAGCTAGCTTAGGACAATACAACCGACAGGTGACACGTCTACTATCCCTGTTCTGCCTTCCTAGTTTCTTTATACGCAGTGTTTAAGGAAGTGCTAATGTAGTATATTTAATCTTTTTAAGTCAGTGTAACTGCTTTGAGTCTGAAAAGTCACGCATAGAAATAGAATCCCTTTTTATTGTCATATACAGTGGGTACGGAAAGTATTCAGACCCCTTTAAATTTTTCCCTTTGTTTCATTGCAGCCATTTGCTAAAATCAAAAAAGTTCATTTTATTTCTCATTAATCAGCACCCCATCTTGACAGAAAAAAAAAACAGAAATGTAGAAATTTTTGCAAATTTATTAAAAAAGAAAAACTGAAATATCACATGGTCATAAGTATTCAGACCCTTTGCTCAGTATTGAGTAGAAGCACCCTTTTGAGCATACACGAAATTTGACCCATCCCTGTATATAGGGAGCAGTGGGCTGCCAATGACAGGCGCCCGGGGAGCCGGGTGTTCAGTGTCTTGCTCAGGGACACTACGACACGTGACACGTCCCAGTCGAGATCGAACCGTTGACCCTGCAGTTACCTGACAACCCTCTTAAGCCAGTGAGCCACGGTTGCCCCACATGGTCTCACATGTGTTGAATAACCCAAATGTGTACTGTTTTTTGAGTGTGTGAGTTGAGTTATATTATAAATCAGATTTTCCTCATGTAGGTCAGGAAAATATGACTTGTTTACAATTCCTGCGTCCAGTGAGCTGTTTGTCACTGCGGTCGGGTCCAGCTGGTGGTGCTTCAAACCTCTCCACTGTCTGAGTGCTAAGACACCAGATTGTCTTGACAGTGGGGAGCTGTCAGAGCTGTGTGTTGTACAATCTTAAGACATGGAATAACTTGAGTGGATACCTGCATGATGAATATTGGCCAACCTATAGTAGCCCAGCACTCATGATTTCAGATGCAACATAAGTTCAAAGAACTTTTTGCAATTTTCTAGCTGTTGTTGGTCCAGACGTCCCCTCGTAAATATTTGTTTTTGTGGTGGTGTTTTAACTTTGCACGACACAAAACGGGACATTAGTCAAAATGGCAACAGCTGAAGGCGGGTCCACCTACACATCTTGACTGAGTGGCCTAGCACCTCAGACTTAAGGAGTGTGGCTTTTGTCTGGGGCTGTCTTGCCAATTAGCATACTAGGCATACTTCAGAGGCATGCCGCTCATGAGTGGCTGTCCTTGATTCTTGGGTAAGATAAGAGCCTGAGACGCACCTCTTTGTTAGCAGGAGTTGAAGAAAGAGTGCAACATTATCACCAGGGCTGTAACTTAACTTTTTTTTGACCACCGCCTAAAACCGTCATGAAATACAATTTAAACCGTGCCGAAGTAAAGGCTGGCCTGCCAAATTACGATATGACTGTTTTTCCACAATACATTTCCATAATTAAAAGTGATGCGTGGCATAAATTAAGAAACAAACATGGAAGATTTTCAATTATAAATTGGCTCACAAAAAACCCATCAATTGATAATTAAATGTCCCGTCGCAAAATGGGTTACCACAGCAACGCAGATAACATTGAATAGTGCTGTGGATGTTACGGACATGCCTCTCCTATGATGACTTAAATGCATGTTTAGTGGTGTATCGGTTTGGATCACCCCTCGCGGTTCGGCACACTTGTGAACTGCGGATTAATTCATTTATTTTTATTTTTTTACAGTTTATTCATCAGTGTGTAATAAAGTTGTACTGCTGCTGTTCCTTTTCAAGTAACAAGTCCCCGAATATCAATGCAGAGTGTCAGTGAACAGATATAAAGCAGTAGTGTGTTCACGTGAACGGAGCGTGTTGGAAGCATTTAACGGTGAAAGTCACGGCGAGTGAAGGAACTTGAGAAGCCCCCGGCATAATTTAAGTTGCAAGTTTGGGATCATTTTGTCTTCCCTGTAACTTATGAGGGTAGTGGACAAAACCGTTACTGTATGTAGACATTGTTTAAAGAGACATATGTCAACACATATGAAGCGCCACCATCCCGGTCTGTCAGTGACGGGGGACATTCCGTTGTGGAAAACAAAAGGATTTCAAAATCTGGTTAGTGTTTGAGCCACGCTACGAAGTCCCCTCACGCACCCACTTCAGTATGAAGATCGTTCCTCTGTGAAGAGGAAAAGACTGACCGCTCACTTCATCACGGAGTGTAGATTCATAGTCCGTGCTGTAGACACGCTCCCTCTGTGAGAGTCACAGACAGCTGGCACTACCCTTTCCCCAGATAATGTAGATATATTCTCATCTTTATGAAAATAAATACCTTAAATATTGTGGTTGTCATGTAAGACTATAGCCTAAAGTGATTTGCTTTAAGTGTTCTTGAAGTTATTTTAATCAATAAATGGAAAGCAAAGTTATATATGTCCACCCCCCCCCTTTTCTTTGCTGATCCGAAAAATGATCCGAACCATGAGTTTTGTGATCCGTTGCACCCCTATTATATGATAATGCTGAACTCTCATTTCACTCTGGTGTCCTTGCAATGCTGCTTTTCACCAGCAGATGCTGTCTGTTTGATTGTGGATTGTGTGAACACTGGTCAGTTATTCAATTTCTTTGTCCTAGGAACTAACGATGCAATGGAGATTTGTTAGGCATTGACAAATGGCCCATAATGTTGGTGTGAAAAAGGTCATCAGCTTGTAGTTGTAACGATCTCTTCCTCTGCTTTCAGACATTCAGGCGAGACGGCAACGACCTGTTCATGAACCACAAGCTCGGGCTGGTGGAGGCGCTGTGCGGCTTCCAGTTTATGCTCAAACACTTGGACGAAAGACAGATTGTTGTGAAGTACCCCGCTGGCAAAGTCATTGAACCAGGTTAACACTTAATAATTATCAATCCAATGTACACATGGTGTATTAATAAGGTAAAAGCTCTGATGACCGTGTGTTACACTAACATGCCCTCGCACCAAAGCACACTCCACACTCATTTCATTGCCGTATTGACAAAAAGTTTGTGCGAAGAGTTTCTTCTCTACATCACTACAGCAAAGTCATGGGTGGCTAGATTCTACTCGCACCGGGCAGAGTTCAGAATGAAAAGGATGACGCACTGGGTTCCCGCTGAGAGCCGAATACAACAAGGAGGCACCCTTTAGGAGGCACAAAGCAGCTCCAGGGGTGCTGGAGTTGGGTGCCTTTAGTCAGGGACACATCAATGGTAGTTGATAAATGAGGGGAGAGTGAAAGCAACATCCTCAGTGGACTTCTGGAAAGACTGTCAGAAGTTACCAGTCGAACTCGTCGCTCTTCTCCTCCGAAGCGATGGAGGGTGTCGAACGCTTGCAGTCATGGGCTTCTGTTGTCCACTTGCATGCCTGTACACGTAGGACTACACATCTGGGGAAGATGTGGAATCGGCTGTAATATAGTTTGCTGCATCTGTAGAATGTGGCATTTCGTAACAGCCCGTTGTGAATGAACTGTGGTTTACAACATGCTGTGTTTTCCAGGCTCAGTCAGGGTGGTGCGAGGAGAGGGCATGCCACAGTACCGAAACCCCTTTGAGAAGGGAGATCTGTACGTCAAGTTCGATGTCCAGTTCCCCGACAACAACTGGATTAGCCCTGAGAAACTTGTGGTATGACACGTTACTCCTTTTACTTGCATGTCGATCGTCGTCTTCATTCTTTGGTTCATTGCAGTGAATATTTAACAGAACAGACTATTTTTAATCATTTAAGTGTCGGTTTTAAGCAAAATGGCAAAAATGTTAGTGGTTTCGGCTTCTAAATGATATTTTCTTGCTTTCTTAGGCGTCTGTGAAAGTAAACTGAACATAGTTAATTTGATATCTCTGCAGTTGACACCGCTGTGTGGTTAGAAAACACTGAAGACTTAGTGGCCCCGTTACAGCTGCATCACGATGATTGTTTTCCTCGTGTAGGAGCTGGAGGACATGCTGCCCTCGCGGTCGGAGCCGCCCATCATCACGGCGGACACCGAGGAGGTCGACCTGCAGGACTACGACGTCAGCCAGAGCTCGACGTCGGGTAGCCGCAGAGAAGCCTACAACGACAGCTCTGACGAAGAGGGCGGCCATCACGGGCCGGGGGTTCAGTGTGCCCACCAGTAGTGTCTCTCTGTTTCTCTCTCTCACTCTCACACACACACACACACACACACACACACACGCACACACGCACACACACACGTGTTCTACTTGGGGAGAAAATGCACGAGTTGGAAAGTAAACAAGGAGGTAGGTCAGACTGAAGAGGCTCGGTAGTTCTTCAGACACGGATCAAATAAACATATTGAATTATGGCTCCTGGAGTTGTTGGTTAATGTTATTGTGTGCTGGGATTATTTTGATCTTTGTCTGAAGAACTCTCACTGGGGCAGCCAGAGACTTATTACACTGCACCTGAAACAGATTTAGACACTTTCAACTGCAACTTCAGGTAGAAGTCATATAATGTATTTAAGATGTATCTAAATAAATGGTTACCCCGGTGAACGCCATGTAGGACTCTGATCTGGTGTTCAAGGTGAACTCCTCTCCCCCCCCCAAGTGGGAACTCCAGATCGGTCGAAGAAAGGAATGTTTCTTGTTTGCTGAGTGTGTGACTTGCATTTTGTTTTCATAGTATTTACAAAAATTAATTTAAGAACTAACCAATGTGCATACACAGACAAAGCAGCTGGGCAATGTGACGTGCAGATCCTCGGACTCGTGCATTCATGGGTTCATCCACTCGGCGCCATTCGTAGGAATTGTTTGATTTTTACAGCTTTATTTTCTTTGTAGGTTTTTACTTGTTTATTTTTTTCCTTGGTTTATATTTTAAATAAAACAGAAAAATTGGTTCTTGTGTATATCATTGGACTGGTTGTTGGTAAGCTTCATCAGCTGCTGTGTTCAAAGCTGTGTGATTTTTAAAAAAATAAATGAGAAGTGAAAAGATGAAAAACGTAGAGCCTGTATCTGTGCTGAGACCATGTGCATGTAAAAAGCTTTGGTTCCTGCACTTATGAAACATCAAATAAAGCAGCACACTTCTTAAGAAAATGTCTATAAAGTTGTTGAATAAATTGTTGAAATATCATGTGCTGTGTCACGTGCTTTGTTTTATTCTCATGAACAATCACGAACATATAAATGCCCTTAGTTGTATGTTGCTCTGGACACTTCGGCTGTCGCCAACACACAATAGGAGTTGCATAGAGTTTGGATTGTGTTGCTTAGAGCCTCAAAGCATTACACTGGAAAATAATCAACTGTTCCTTTCCTAAAACAATGCGTCACTGACCAGAGCTAATCCACACTTAGTGTCGGCGTTAGTCATCAACTGTTCTCAGAAATAGCTGTTGACGGCAAACGCCATCTGACCCAAATGCCGTGAAGCTCATTTTAGAATCTCTCCGAGGTTTCCATCGTCAGTCATTCACCCCTAAAATGTGAATGAGATCACTCCTTTTGTTGGAGCGGCGGGCAGGTCTTTTCTTAAAGCGGTGTGTATTTCACACTTGGGTGGTGATGCTACTGTAGTCATGACAGCTGTGTTGCTGACGGCCCGGACTGAAAAGCGCTGTGTCGACTGTGACGTCGGTTCTCGAGAAAGCGGCAAACGGCAACGTCACATGCACTGACTGAACGTGTTCTGCATTAAGCAATTCGAGTTAATGCTGACTGTTCACTAATCACTAATACTTGTGTGTGTATATACGATGTAGAAGTCGGCTTTAGCTGGATGCTAACAAGCAGGAGAAATTAGCTAGCATCGTTTACCTACGCTACTAATATCCGTATGAATGCCAGTCTTGCAAGCTGCCTCCATATCACGACCACATTTTCGATGGAAATGTGAATCCTCGTTGTTTCGAGATGTGCCTGATAAATCAAAAATGAAACGACAACATGTCTTACGTGCGTTCATAAACGCCTTTTTCGTTAGAGGGTGTACCGGCGCCGTGGCTTAGATGGTTAAAGCGCCTGTCTAGTAAACAGGAGATCCTGGGTTCGAATCCCAGCGGTGCCTTTTGAACAGCTTCTCCTCGCGCAGAAGTTACTTACATAATTTGATAGACAGTGAGTGTATCCATCGCTTATAAACATGCTATTTTATTTTCTCGAGAAACAGGCTCCGTGGCTTCTGTGAAAAATGCCGAAATTGAAAGTAAATGTGTATATTCACTTTGCCAGAGGGGTTTGTAGTACACCCATCTAGCCACATGGGGGTGACAGTGAGACTGCCTATTGAACCAAGAATCCGTCAGACTACAATGGAGGGATTGGGTGAAGAAAATCATGAAGCAACCGTATTTTAGATGTACTCTTCATTTCCACAAGCAAACGCCGTCTCTAGTGTAATCTATACTTCAGGCCGATGTCTACAGTTTCTATACAACTGTTTGTTACATTCAATCCGGGAGTGAGGAGCGAAGAAAACATATAAACAAAGAATAATGAGGACCACTTTGTCCTGTTAGATGCGGCAAGCTGAACACAGAGGGGCCCACCATCAGAGCGGAAGTTAGATTGATATGTCTTCAAAATGCAAAAACCGATTACTTTAGTCTGTATACATTTTCACCATGCAATTTTGTGACCTAAAGCTAAAAGGACCAAATCCTTCATAACTGATATCAACTGATTTTCATATGAAAAACTTTTACAACTGCAAGATATCCGTCAAGTGCAGTGTTAGACCTTTTGTTGTTGGCAACAAACCTTCCTTTATTACATTTCCTTACGTTTTTTTCCACCATTGATTTGTAAACACTTATGCACTTTGACATTTTGCCTTTGTGATGATATTTTTTTACATTTTCTTTTTAATGCTACTGATTTTCCAGATGATGATATCCATGCAGATGTTCAAAGCAGGTCAAACCAGTCCACATAGACTGATAACTGTACATCTGAACACATCTGTTGCAGATTATTGTTACCATTTCTTTTAGTAACGTTAGCCTGATGTAAATCAGTCAGGGTATATTTTAGGGTATATTTACCCTATTAAACTACACAGATTCATTACAGCAACGTGTGTGGAGGTTCAGTTGATGGGAAAACACCTGGATATGAGTTTCCAACAAGTATGTAGCTACTCAAAATGTTATCTTAATTGCGAATGTTTGATGTTTCTCAATATGCTACGTTAATGATTACGTGTGGCTTTTATTTTGAAGACGTCAACCGGAAATCGCGTAGTTCACCGCAGCGCTTGACCCTGGTGTCTTGGCTACCGCTGCAAAGGACACAATGCCTTTCCACGGTGCGGAGGACCTTTTGGTGTGCGTCTGAGAGCTGCAAACAGATGCGGGAGCTTCGCTGGAGGACACACATGTCGAGCAAACCGCGGACATTGTGTCCGACATGAAAGCAGCTAGTCCCCGCCGGACCATGGGACTGACGGAGCTGCTGCTCGGACTGCTGTGGTTCCGCTCCGCTCTGCTCCGTGCAGGTGAGAAAACAACAATGCATCTACACTGCTGTAATGTTTGAAATGGAAATCTGTGCACACATTGTGCTGATTTACCAGTGCTGTATGGTTGTGTGCCAGACATTCAAATCACCAAGAAATCTCAGTGAGCGGATCTAGTGTATGTTGGTAGTTCTTATCACCATTGAAGCTCTTACAGTTCAAAAAGCTTCTAACATCACTAACGTTGTATATCACTGACTACCACAGCAGAGCACTCTTATAAAACCTGGTGTCCACACCCGGACAGGAGTGGATGTTATTGTGCTCGCTGCTCCCTCCTGTGTCAGTCCGCTAAAGAGTGATGTGATGGATGAAGACAACAGTGTTTTTATTGTTGTGATCGGATGGAGGTAGAAGACGAGGATATCGTCCTCTGCGGGTATTGATCTGTGGTGGGTAAACGATCAGGGTTTGCGTGGAAACATGGATGCTCTTTCACAAATGTGATGCTGCTATCGGCATTACATCACTGCTTCTCGGCAGACACCCCCCCCCCCCCCCCCCTTCCTGTTATCATATCCTGTACTTTATTTGGCATGAAAATAAAGGATGAAGGCTGCCGGTGGGATGAGTGTTGGGGGCTTTGAAAAGATCACACACACACTCACACACACACACACACACACACACGCACCATATAAGCGTGTTAGTACTTGTTTTAGCACCTTTTCACACACAGAAAAGCCTCTCTCTCTCTCTCTCTCTCTCTCTCTCTCTCTCTCTCTCTCTC